TGCTTAGGACGTTAAGCTTAAAAAACACATATCTGAAACCAGTAGCGTCTTTCCTGAGGTGATCGAAATGTCACTATAACACACTGGATTGCCTCCAAAATATTTTGCTCTGTATAAAATTAGAGACAGGAGTCTGTGGCTACATTTATATTAGTTCCTGAACACATTTAATTTATATTCCCAAGTGCTGAGGCCAGTTGGCATGGAATAACTTGCTTCTGCTTTGAAACTCATCAGCTTCAAAAACTACATCTAATTCACGTATGGAGAATGGTCCCTGAACACCCTCACTCTAAAATGTTGTCTGGAAATTATTTGCAAGAACACCACTTGGCAAAGAGCAAGTGTGCCATGGACCCACACCCGGCCTAGGTAAGAAGCCATGCTGCACACAGTTTAGGTAAGAGCTGCTGCTGCTCCAATGCCAGAGCAGATATTTCAAGAGTTGCTGCTCTAATTCAATTTTTCCCAGCCTTTCTATCAAAGTGCCTGGTTTCTCACATTTCTGAGGGAGTCCGATTTGCCTCTTGGACTGCTCACAACTGCAGAAACTGCAGAAGGCATCATCTACGAAAACCTTGTCGAGAGTAACTTGCTCTTGCAGGAGAAATATGGCATAACTTGAACCACACAGCAGTTCCTTTCACATAGGTGTGAACAAGAGTATTATTATATGACCTGAGGGACTAGGAAAAAAAAAAAATCCGAAGAAAATTACTACCACCTTTGCCTCTCACCTGTAGAAGAACAGAAACCAGTTCAGCTTTTATCCCTATGATGCCATCTTTCAGGACCTGAACTATAGGAACCCATTATGTGAAAACAGGAGCTCTTCAAAATACTCCTTAGAAAAATGGTGAGTTATTCTCAGGTTCTGCAAATTGACAGAGATCAGTGAAAATTGTGTCCCCATCCAAGGAAAACCCGGCGCACTTTCCACAAACACTCACAGAATCGTGCATTTCTGTAGAGGTTTGTAACACAGTAAGAAGATTGGTAAGGATGAAATGTGAATAGAAATGTGTGTGAGAGAGAGACTGAGATAACAACACAGCAAGGGTTAATTTCCTTCTCTCTCTCGTTTCCTTATTAGTGCTAAATATCTGCAACGCAGTTCACCATGGCACTCCCTTTGGCAGCTGCTCGCTGTTAACTAAACACATACTCACATCAGATAAATACACTTTAGTGCTGTCTGTGTCATAAACGTCTAGTGATCACATACTCTCACTTCACTTCCAGTATCCATGAGTCTCCTGTGTAGACAGTGAAACCTGAAATAAAACACATGATTTGCTTCTGAGAACCATCTACAGTAACTAATGGTGGTAACGCATTTTTCATTAGGAAACGCAACTCTATTATCGAAAGTTATTAATCTGCAGATTAGTAGCAAAGCAATCCTAAATTGGCTTGGAAACCTGAAGTTTGCGTCACATTTTGTCCTAGAGCAATGAAAGTGCCTAATTTCTGTAACGGAGACATCTTTCTGCTGCCAATAAACAGATTTCAGTGCAGAATGGAGAAGGACAGCCATGAGGCAGCCAGCACTTATGGTCACTGTGAAACTTTTCTGGATAGGAATTAGTGACTGAAGCAGAAAGGCTCTCATTATTCATCCTCCGAAGTATCCAGTATCATGTAAAAACTAATTCTTGAATCCAAACACTCCCCAACAAAAATAGTTCAGCAAGCAGCACAAAAGGCAATTGCACGAAGGCAATTGCGACACATGCTTTCCAAGCTCCGAGGCCCATTCTGTTGTTAATCTTTCATTAATTAATCTGATTTAGAGAACAACCCATCAAACGGAGAAAAGCCAACTTCAATTTTCAAACCAATGCCCTTGAAAAGATGCAGTCTGCTTTTGCCTTAAGATTTAGATGCCCACTGCCAACATAATGGAGGCAACTATATTTTAAAGCAGCAGCATGTTCCTGATCAAAAAAAAAAGAAAGAAATGTGAGAGTTTTACAATCAAGCTTTCATTTTCCTATTACCTAAAAATCCAGCTTCTACAACATAGTGCAATTAGGAAGACCAAATGCAGCTTGCGTGTGAACATCTTTGTTCTTGTATAGAAATTCTTTCACGATTTTCATTTTATTAAAAGAGAATATGGACATCCTCAGAGAGCCCAACTAACTACTCTGAGAAGTTAAAGCATTCAGAGAAACTCACGATCAGACCCCAAAACTTCCTGTTTGCCTTTACAGTCTCTTTTACTACAAATCAGGTTGGTCATACTTGGGAAAGAGGACGGCCACGTACTGGGACATAAGAACTAGGTGGAACTCTATTTAGAAGGATACTCTCATGAACAAAGACCAGATTGCTCTGTCCCAACTGCACTCCTCTCACAGTGGCTGTCTTCACCTCCAGGCCACTGGAAGAAGGTCAGACCCACCAGGCACAATAACTTGGTTGTGAAGTTCAAGCTCAAAATGTTCAAGGGGAAGTTCTAATTCCGCAAAAAGGTCACTTTACAAATTACAGGAATCTGATAATCATCTACAGAAAGGAGAATTGGCACAGAGACTAAAACTCATGGATTCCCGCTAGCTGACATAGTAAAACCAAACCTCCTTTCCCTTTAGATATGAAGACAAGAAGAAGCATTTCTTTCTCGAGAGGAAGAGTTAAAACTTTGGAATTATAGCAGGAGAGCTTAGCTCACAAGTAACACCTTCGACGTTCAGAGCTCTCACAGCCAGCTCCAGGGGAGAATCGTCCACACAGAGTTCTCAAGTTCAGGAGATAATTTCAATACTGTTTATCATATCAACAATGACATCACAATGGAGTAAATGGCCTGTCACTACAACAAGAGAACAAATAATCCTTAATTCAGCATCTACAAGCTCATACTGGCTTCAAAACTTGTGAAAAGCTAGTACTAGTGAAAATAATAAAGAACAAATAGGTTCTCTGTAGGATGTTCCCATCCTACAGAGCCTGAATAATATGCGATCATAAACCATAGGTTTTTCAACAGAATAATTGTTCTTCTTTATAAAAACGTACATCTATGTGTACAATCCTCTGCTCTATGAATTTTTACTTTTCTACCTACCACGTTCCTCAGCCACCACAACACTGCTTAGCTTTCTGGCTTGTGAAGACACCAAAGCTTTTTGGGAGCAAATGGCACCGTTCTCATAAATGGGCTCAATAGTGACTATATCGTAACATGAGGAAGGCCTGAAAAAAAGACAGGAAGATATTTTTCCCCCCCTCCACTCACAGGTGTATCTTTAAATGGGCTTTAAAAAAAAAAAGTGGCAGAGTGCTTAAATAAATGCAGTTTTATAACTGTGTTTTAACACTCTCCCTTTTTAGTATTTCTTCCTGTAATAACCTGCCTCAATGCATTCGTCTCAGTGCCGGGTAGAGCTCGCTCACAACAGCTCACGTATCAAGCTCCAAGGTGCATAGGCCAACGGTCCCTCTTCTCCGAGTTTTGATGTTGACACCAGCCAGCAATAACAGCCCAGAAAACCAACCCACCCTGCTCTGACCACACAAACTGGCATCCCACCGCTAAGCACAAGCAGATGGGACGACACCCCCTCGGTCACCCACTCCCTGTCAGATTGCAGAGACCCCCGAGACTACGGTGCTTTTTACACAAGGCAAGAGCCTTCTGTCTTGCAAGCACACAGCACAGCCATGCCCACCACCCCACAGGAAGATCCTGAGCTCAGGGTTTTGGGTTTTTTTCAGGGCAGCCCCCCTTGTGCTCTCCAAACCTTTCCCTAACCCAGGAAAATAAGCCACTGACCCCTCCTCCATACATCCTCCCTTAGCCCCTTCTTTCTCTAGCCCTGTTACCAGAGGGTTCCCACCCCCTCAACACTCCCCATAGCCTTTTTTTCTCCCCTCAACACCACTCCCTTTTTCACCAGGAGCAACGGCCCCTGCTTCCCCACACCACTGCCCGCTCACCAGGAATAACACCCCCCTCAGCCTCTAGCTCAAAGGGAACCCAGAGCTCCCGGCTGAAGGGCAGCAACGCTTCGGGCACGTTTAGCTTAAAGGCGAAGACGGGCACCGCCGAGAACGGGAGGAGGAAGAGGGGAGAAGACAACCAAGCCCGCCCCATCCTGTCAGACA